TACTTTCGGTGCGTACTAACGGTATAACATACTATGTAATTTTTTAAATTTATTCTTTTGGACTTATAATTTTATGAGACTATGTAAATCCACCAATTAGTTTTAAAATTTTTGCGTTGCATTTAAAATCACTTTGAGTTTATAATTATTCGCAGCAGTATATATGTAGGTAAATACATACACTTCGGGTTGCATCGTTAAAAATTAAAATCTTCAAATTATCAAAAATATATAGATACTAGCATAGCATGGTACCCGCGGTCTTACCCGCACCTACGAAGTTCCCTTTAAACATTGCAGATAAGAATTCGGTTGTCGAAGTTTCCCATAAAGAGATTAAAAGGCGTCAATAATATGTAGTAAGAAAAATTGGTCTTCTTAAATGGATTCATTCAAGATAAAAGTATGAATATGTATTTAACTTTGCCATGGGAGCTATAGTCTATAAAAAATATTAAGTAGATATATTCATTAAAGATGATTATAGAAGAGACTGGCTGTAAGAAAAAAACGTAAGGGAAATATTTTAGTACTTACCTGTTTTTTTTTTTGTTGTTTTTGCGGGTGGGCAAGTAAAAATTTCCCCTTGGTGGAACCGTCTCCCAACCCGAAAGCACATTTGTACTGCTTCAGATTGGCGTTCCCTGCATTTTATTTTATAAGAGCCTTCAGTTGCGCCTGCGTCCAGGTCCCGCTTTTTTGCTCTGAGTGTGGTTTTCATTGTTCGCTAATCATCGCAATTTTCCTTCAATCTAACACGCTTCTATAAACAACGTTGTATGATTTATTATTTTCCGCTAACACATACAAATTTTTGGCGTTTGAAACACGTGAGCAACCGACATATAGCTGACCATGTGAGAAGCATGGAGCGCCTAAATGTATCCCAGCTACTTTTAGGGTTTGGCCTTGCGATTTGTTTATTGTCATAGAAAAAGCCAATTTTAAAGGAAACTGCAGCCTTTTAAAAAGAAAAGGTAAGATATTTGGAATGATGGGTATACGTGGAATTAAAACGCTCTCTCCTGTTGCAACTCCTGTAATTATAACAGCTTTTACTATGTTGGTGCCAAGCTCTGTTATACGCAGTCTTGTACCATTGCACAACCGAGGTGCATCAAGGTTTCTCATTAGTATGACAGGAACACCAACCTTGAGTACCAAATTATGAGATGGCACACCTGCTAACTCTAAGGAGTTTAGAAACTCGATGGGGTATGTTGTGCTGTCATCATTAGCCATTGTGGTATCCATGGATTTGTATAATTTAGAGTTTCCTGTTATCGTGTCTATAATTTGTATGTTTATTTTATTCACCCATTCGTTTGTTGGGGATAGCACAGCCCTCTCGCGTAACCATTGTGTGTTTTTTAAATTATTTTCAAGATCAGGAAAAACTTTCTTAATAAGATCATTTTCTGTCTCTACTGGAGTACAAAATTCATTACGGAACAGAATTTTACCTTCTGAATCTGAATTTAGGCGACCTTCTCCAATCTCTAGTAGCTTACTTGCAAATAAACCTGATGCATGGTCGTTGTACAGCTGAACTCGCATATTGCATGTAAGGTGAAGCTTTTCTGTACTTACCCACAATGGTGATGACTTCAGGCATGCATTGATTTCATCGGCAGGTGTGCCTCTCTCAATAACAGGTAAGGTCTGTCTAAAATCGCCTGCAAGCAAAACGATAACACCTCCCATTAATGCCTGATTGCTACGAATGTATGAAGACTGCGGTTTAACGCTTCGAGGGCATGTTTGTGTGCCATTGTGCATTCGTCCCATACTATGAGTTTGCATTGCTGTAAAAGACGTCCTCGCGCACTGTTTTTGGAAATATTGCATGTTGGTGTATCCTCGGTTGCAAGATTAAGCGGCAGTTTGAAGACAGAATGGGCTGTATGACCGCCGTCAAGTAACGTTGCAGCAATACCCGAGGATGCTACAGCCAAGGCTATATTGCGGTTCATGCGTGAGCTAGCAATAGATTTAGCACAAATGTTTTTCCTGTGCCGCCGGGAGCGTCCAGGAAAAAAAGTCCTTCTCCGCTACTTAGTCTATTTAATATTACATTGACAACTGCATGTTGTTCAGGAAGCAGTTTCGGTGTTGTTTCACGGACATGCGACTGTAAAACTGGTATATCGTAGCTAAGCTCTCGTGCAACATCGCTTGATATTTCTCCTCTTCTCTGTGGTGTAGGTAGGCCAAAATCTGCAAGGCATTTACCAGATATGGTAAGCATTTTATCTTCAATGAGTACTAAGGCTTCGTTGTAAATAATATCGTTGTGGGTATCTTGCAACCTATACGCTATATCTTCTGATAAATCGGCCTTGTATTTATTCCACAAATTAAGTGGATTCGATAAACCACATGTGCTCACTAAAATCGCAAATAATTCTCTCAATTTAGCTGCAGAGCGACAAAGAACGGCTTCGGCCATAGTATCATCCCAATGGTTGTCATTTTCTTACAAACCTCTTACCTCACATGCTTCTCTGAATGTCGCTTGTTCTTCGTCGTTCACGGTTTTAAGCATTTGGAAGCTTGTAGGACCCCGTACCTCATTGAGTAATATCCGCAAGCAAAAACATTCAAAATTACTGACATGCACAGTATATATTCGACCCAATGCGTCAGCTGCTTTAACACCCGGCCAGCCTTCAACAGCTGTTCCCTGTAAACGGCGTTTCCACTCTTTTCTGGATATATTCCAAGTGTAGTATCGCGGTACTTCACTATATAACAAAGTTCTGGCAAAGTTGTCACTCTCGCATAATTGGAAAAAAGCAGTGAGTGTTGTTTTTGGTGGTGATACTACTCTATCCTGAAAGTTGCCTTGTGTAAAGTACACTCGCTCTCCGTTAGGTAAATGAACTGCAAGGTGCGTGACAGTGGGTTATCTTTCGTGCAACGGTAATGTAAAAATTCTCCACGCTGCTTCGTTACTGCTAACATATCTGCCTGCACGAAATAGCTGGACTTCGTCTCGATTGTTAATATTGGTGTTACCCTGCTGGACACTAAATACGGCTTGATCGTTTCCTTTACATATGTATTTGCAAATGTATTTAATAGCTTGTACGGAACTGCAAAACTCGACGTTCAAATGTGCGTTAAATATTTTAGACAGCAGTGGCGAATATGGCACAACCCAACTATTGTCTACTTCAACCTCCTCATTTACACCACGAATTTTAATTTTAATTACTCTGCCCCCTTGGTCGGGTGATCGGCGCCTATATAAAGGATAACCGTTGACATTCGTTTGTGTATTTTCCAATAATGCCCTAGGATATTTTTTAGTACATTTACCGTCTTTCATGCAGGGTGACTGCTGATTGTGAACACCACAGGGACCATGAATATTATTTTTAACAATTATTTCATGCAACGATTCGTCTATACGTGGATCAGGAATCTCGGCGCTTATAATATCGTCTATTTGGCTGGGACGTAGTTTTTTTTTTAACCAAAGTAATAGATGCACGTGTGGTAATCCACGTTTTTGCCATTCAATGTAGTATAAAAAACATCTCATCTCTCTAAATATGTGTCCCTTTGTAAGCAGAGCAACTAATTTCTGGACCTTTAAGTTAAAAACTCTGGCTACAATATCATGCCTGTCGATCGCCGTTTGACCTGGCATAAGTGCTTGTGTTTCCACCGGAATTTCAAAATTCACTCTTTTCTAAGGACTCTCC